CAGAAGACAACGCACTGTGGGCCAGCGACAAACTCTCATCTGCAGAAGACAGTGGTGCTTCGTCTGACTAATAGGAACAGTTGCGATGGTGGTTGAGGGGAGTTCCAACGATCGTGGTGCGGTGCGCCCAATTCGCAAATAAATGTCGTTCGGCAATTTCGGGTTGTTTTCCTCTTTTTTCTTTTTCGGTAACCTGAACTTAGAGGGGTCGACCTATATTCCCACTTGACCTATAGTCCGATTTATATGGTAGGTATTTTGAGAGCTGACCAGTTATTTCCGCGTCAATACAGAGTCCACATTATTGATCTGGTTTGATTGATTGATTGATATGTGGGGTTTAATATCCCAAAACCACTATATGATTATGAGAGATGCCGTGGTGGAGGGCTCCGGAAGTTTCGACCACCTGGAGTTCTTTAATGTGCACCAGAATTTGAGCACACGGGCCTACAGCGAAAATTCAGCCGTTTCAGTCTGCATTCCATTCTACCGAGAGTGCGCATTATGAAAAATGTGTTAAAGAAGTGCCCGAGAACACAATCAGCCCAACACTTTCTTACGCACCCATTCGTGAAAAACAAACTTTTGTATAAAAGAAATATGTTTATTTACAGGCGTGGCATCTATTTTCAGCACTGGCTTGACACAATACAGAAAGTTGTCTTCATTGTGACACACACTGTTCTCCAAGGTATACATACAATATAGATACCTCTGTATCACACTGTTATAGAACATGCTATTATTTACAGAGATTGTGAAGAAAAATTGGTGCACTCACAGAACTAGAAGCCATGTAGTGCATTTATACAGTGAAGCCTCAAAATATGAAAAAGCCCTCCTTCCAAATGCGATTGTTCTACAAGTAGTCTATAGTTATAATGAATATTGATTTTATAAGGGTATTTTGAGTAGGATGAAACTTTCCTGATGAGGACTGATTGTACAATTATACCTGCACAACTCGGAAGATGAAAAAACGTACTTGTTCCAGAAGAAATCATTTCAAAAACTAATAAATATTTGCCACACTATAATATTTTGGTAGAATATCGTCTTTGATATTGTCATAAACCTATAATGAACTTGAAAGTATGCATGTTGGTTAATCCCAGGTTTACTAGCAAATTGCTCTTGTCTGGGACTCTGAAAAAGTTTTCCAAATTTTCTAACTGCTTAGACTATGTCATCATGCAATCACTTGCTCCACAAATTAAACAACGAACCATGTATCGAACCGATATGGGGCAATTATTGTTATGCTCTCTTTGACTCCTTAGTCTCAACTCAGGCAACAGCCTGGCACTGTGGGAGACTGCAGCAGATGCCATTGGGAAACAAAGGGCGCCTGTCATTTTTATTTTATTCTCCTGTATAGCGATAATCTGCAGAAGCATGCAGACAAACGGTATTTGAGAACAATCATTAAGAACTCAGGCAAAGTGGTTGGGTCTCCAGATGAGAAGCTGCAGCCGGGTGAATCCTGGTGCTGATCAGATGACGAGAACTATTGCTCGCTGCAAGGCGACTACGCTCGTCAGATGTCTTACAACACTTCCAAAATGTAGCAGCTTTGCAAGCCTTCAACCGCTTGATTTCTGGTGCACAACTTGGCCGATCACGATGTATGAGGGGCGGACATGCAGCTCACATCGACGTAGACGATGCCCAGTAACGTACACTGAAAGTACTCAATAAGGGTGGTCGCCACGTAATGCCGAAGAAAGCTACATAGCAAAGCGCACAAGAGATTGAAAACTATTATAGAAGGGCCATTGCAGCATTCGCAGCGCATGAAGTTGCTTAAAAGGGCCCAGAAACACTCTTTTGAGTAACCATAGAATTGATTCACTGGGTATTGCCTCACAAATTCAACGCCGTGAAAATTCTAAAAATCCGTCCAGTACGAGCGGAGTTACAAAGCTTTGCCACACGATGCAATCATATTCTCTCTTCTCTCGTGCCGACGAAAGTGCTGGAAGCTAAGCAGAAAGGGATGGAAAAAGCAAATAAAAAACTTCATGCGCGCCTTGTTACCTTGAGCACTTTATTCTTTTTCTTCCAATGCACGGCTTTTTCAGTGTGATTGCGTGCGCGCGCGTGGACAAGTGATGCCTTTTTGCGGTGATCTCTGTAACGACCGAGCGTGCCCTATTCAAATAAGCCAATGGCTGATTTGAATGGGCAATCTACCTGGATGAGCAATCTACCTGTGATTTTTGAGCGTCGTCCGAGAAGAAAAAAGGAAAGGCAATTTTTAGCAGACTCTGATAATTTATTGTGAATTCCAGGCCACGCACTGTGCTATAACATTTCGTTGAAGTGTTCTCGGGAGCCTCTACTACGGATCGGCAGCGTTTTTTGACCATGGTCAAAATGTGTTGCAGGGCCCCTGTAAATTGGTCTGCAAATATAGGACATGCTCAATGCTTCATACACAATGGTGAAAACTGTTTCAGGTTCCCTTTAACATAGCTTTTTTGCTGGGTGCTAAAAAGGCGATAGAAAATAGCTTCTTTATTCGTTTCGCAGCACTCTGTTTTCGCTGAGAGCCCACAGCTGTTCAATATTGCTATAATTTATCCCTTTTCATTTTTTAGGCATACTCTCAAAATGAGCACCTTGTAGTAAAAAATTAAAAAAATTCATAATTTGGAGGAAGCACTCGTGCTATTTGTGAAACAAAAACAATCCTTTTTTTTTCATCAAAAGGAAGTCGTCCTTTCAGGTTATGTGAGATTCTGTTATGTACTCTCTTCTGGATTGGCTTTCGATTCCTTTTGGCTTGGATGTCTTTAGTGGCATGTGAAAGCTTTAGGGCTCATTATCAGCTTTCTGTCACTAGGGTTCATTTGGACTATGTATTTATTGTGACAAATCATTTTTGGTTCTCACAATACTTGAAGCATTGCGCACAGTTGGTGCAGAAGTATGGCCCCGAACACAAAAGTACTTTTGCTGACAGCTGCACGAAGCAGGCAAGCAGGCTTCGGCTGGCTGGCCTTGCTACTTTGTCTAACTGAGCAGAAGTGCGCAAATTGAAATTGCTGTATTTGTTGTTACACAATACTTTTTAAGATCAACCCCAGATCATTCGTTTTATACAGCTCTGCCAGAAAATGCAAAATAAATACAAATTCATGTTAGAAGAATTTCGTCCTAGTGACAATGTATCTCGCTCCTGTTTTTTTTTTTTTTGCACGAGCCGTAAGAGATTGGAACACCTTTGATGAATATATTCTTGCTCAGCATACACTAGAATTATTCTCCGAACTCGTAGAAGAAGCTGTTTGATACAGACACATGTCACTCTGTTTATTGTCAATTTATTCTTATTTTGCTGCTGCTGTAGTATGCTTGATGTAATTGCTACTGTGTGTAAATTTAGAGTGTGAATTTTTGTTTACACATGTAAGTGTCTATTTCTTACAGAGTGCATAATTTGCAGTTTGCATTACTCCTATACCTTCATGTATGAATTAACTCCCACCCCTGTATTAATCCCTCCGAGAAATTGGCAGTATTTGAAAATAAAATAAAATACATGATACATCTTGCACCAGCGTTGTGCTGATCTATTTGAACAAAGGTGCAACCTCAAGTATACTCATGCGATACGAGACAGCTTTGTTCTTTTGACAAGGAGCCATGGACAGTGTTGCAGATAAAACTTCTCTCACCGCTCATCTGCATAACTGCATTGCATTTGAAAGTGAAAGCTAAATACAGGCCACTTAAAGCTAACTTTTTAAAATTTAGGCTCTCAATGAATGTCAAAGGAAAACAAGCAATTTTAAAAAAAACTTTCAACATGCAGCAGTATCATTCAGTGCCAAAATAAAGGAGGTGCTCAGTGAACTGTGTACCTACAGTGAAAAAATTATGCATTCAAATCAAATATTTGCCCTAGCCATTGACAGTCTAATGAGCATATTATGGCCATACTTACAGGATGCGCATACTAAATTTGGCTACTTCGGTGCATTTGTGAACAGCAAATGCTTCTTAATAACGTTTTGTTTATACTAGAATTAACGCAGCTCAAAGGTTTAATTTCAAATCTCGAGGTAAGTGTGGCATGAGACACCGTGAGCTTTGTCGATGACACTGCAAAGTACTGAACGTAGCCTGGGGGGTCGGGCCACAAAGCGCTGAACACAAGATAAGTCTACCATTCTTGTGATTCATTCCAGCAGAAAGTGTACAAGTAGAACAAAATTCTGTACTTAATTAGAATTTCTAAGCCAAAAGGGAGGGTGTGGTTCTAATGACATAAAGAATGCTTGAAATGCATGCAATTAATCAGAAATTATATGCACTCTTAACCCCTTTAATATCCATATTCAGCACTAATGTTCCCACACATCTCTACCCTTGCCAGAGACAATGCACTGAATTTCTAAACGAGTCATCGAAATAAGCAACGCCATCAGCCTTTTAGGTCATGAAACAGAAGACCTTTTTTGTGCTTCAAAAAATGATAGTATTATGCAATTGTTAGCATTTTTTAAGGTTGCGGCATAACATACAAAATCTTATAACTTCTACAGCTACAGCCAAATTAACAAAGCAGTAAAAGTCACTGGTCAGTTTGGCCTACAGACGCTGTTATGTAAAGCGCACACAAAAAAGATCATGAATTGCTTCATGTTTTATAGGGGTGCTGAAACTGGGAGCCCTACAATAAATGTTTTTTTGTACAACTGCATACCTCACTTCACACGTTGCTTTCTCAGCTTTGTAATTTGATTGCAAGCAGAAAATTTCAGCTCAGAAAAGACCACAAGCCTGCCCTATAGGCCTTTGAATACGATAAAAAAAAAGGTAAAGGTTTGGGGATGGAGAACCTCAAGCAAAAAAAGCTTGTTTTAAAGGCCCAATGTGAAGGTTTGGTCTCCCTTTTTTTGTATCTCCCATAGCAAAAAGATTTCAGATGCCCAGTTGGGCTTTTCTGATGTTTGTATATCATAACAGAAGCATAATTATAAACACTCAGATGCAGAACGAAACCAATTTATTCAAAACAAGTGTGCACTCTACAAACAGCGATTCAAGTTAGTTATAAAAATAAAGCTTGCCTTGTTTCGAAAATATTCACCCCTGACATTTGAAGCCATCCTCGGAATAGAGAAAATCTGGCACAACATAGCGTATTGGCAAATAGTTTACCTACTCGCGTAATTGACACTAATAAGAAAAAGGTAGCATTAAAGATATTTACGTGTGAGCTGACTGTGTGAGTTCAGTGTATATTGCACATTACACAGAGTACAAAGGAAAAGTGGACTTTTTTTAAGGCCACAGTGATCGCAGCCAGGGTTCTCCCCACGATGAATGGTGGTGGGAATTCCATACTTTCCCCACTGTATATTTTAACCACTCTCAGTGCTCTTTTTGTGTTGCTGAGGAACCGGAAAAAAGTGTCAGGCCTGCAGGAAGGCGCAGTAACACCAGAGCGAAAGTTGGAAAAGTGGCATTTTTACAGAACCCATTGTAAACTATTCAGGAACAAGTACACTTGCAAGCCACCCACTATGCCATGAATCACAATTTCTGTGAAGTACGGAAACACACATTACACCATTATTTGTCATTATGCAGAGAGTAGAGGTACCCGCTTCTCATCGGCAAAGCATTATGTGCGCATTTCTTGATGTGGCAACTAATGACAAAGAATTATGGCTGAGCCCATTGTGATGGGTTGTAAGCTTTAAAGGACCCATCAATTACATAATTCTTGATGTGTGATGTGCAGTCATTATCTTAACTCTCCTACCACGCTATATTGCAAGCATTAACACATAAAGTATTACCTGAAATTCCACGCTTCCCAACACAGAGCCTGCATAGGCTCTTTCTGTAAAAAAATATCAACCTTTGCCATTGCTCTGTGCTAGAACACTTGGCTGCCAAGAAGAGGGCCCAAGTTTTAACCCCATTTTATTCTAGATTATTTTTTTCTTCTTTCAAAAGATAGTGATTACGGACACCGTAAAACAACTACGGCACCGAAACGACCATTGTTGTGATCTCTAATGGCTTTCGCTGTAAAATGGCAAGCCTGCATGCAATAGTAGTGAAGGTTGGGCTAGTTGGTATGGTAGCATTTTTGGGTACAGTGAAGACGGAAGAGACAGCGCTCATTTGTGTCTCTTCATCGATTTCACACTGGACCCAAAACAAAAAAGTCACATTTCTGCCGCAAAGGCAAAGCAATGAATGCAATAGCAACAACTTGGAATGTAACGCTGAGAACGGCAAGCAGATCAAAACATGCACGGCGCTGCTCACGCACCAATGGCGCACAAAAACAACACACACAGGGCGAGAGCCAACTAACAACGTTTACAGCTCGACACTTAACTGCGCTGTTTAAACAAAAACGATGCACGAAATGTAATCACAGGTACAAACCTTCTTATGAAATAATGTTCTTCAGTTGTTTAACCAGCTCGCAGAATAAATTTGTAACGGTACCTTTATCCTGTGATTGGTTTCCCATATCTAGTTGTGTAAAATCTGTGCTACGCTACTGTTATGATCATTGCTGCCTTGCTTCGTTTTTTTTTTTTTTCCTTCTTATGTGCCTTATGTCTGAAATATGCACTGATTAGTCCTCTCCTGTTCTCTGGTGTTTTCTTCGATTGTTCATTGCTTATTTCCTCTTGCTCTCAATTTGTATTTCTTTTTTTGTTTAAATCTGGTTTTCATCATTGATATACAAACAAACCACTCCTGCTTGGGCCGCCCTAGGCCTGCAGTATTGTATAAAAAAAAAAAATATGAGTGCGAACTATAAAGTGTCCCAGTTGTTATACTTCCCTGAATATGAGAAGCGCGCTCTTTTTGCAAACGGGGCCTGTGCAGCGAGTGAAGTGACCTGAGTGGGCTTGGCAACTAATGCAGCACCAGAACGATTGCAACTAATGCAATCGTTCTGGTGAAAGCCGAAGGCACATGATTCTCTCCACTGAAGGATAAGTGCGTGTCGGCTGCATCATGACAAGCTGAGGAGCAGTGGGTGGCTTTCTTTTTCTTTTTTGAGGATTCATATGTAGATACATATACATATGCAGTTAATGACAGCGGTCGTGGCAACGGGAAAAAAAACAGCTGAGACTGTTCATATAATTGCTATTGTAGTAAAAAGCATGCATGTGCCACACTTGGAGATGACACTCGTATCACATTGTGCTCCGTTCCAGCCCCATCTGCAGAGTGGCTGCTTTAAACAAGTGTCCACTGTGTGCGTGCAAATCTCGTAGTGGCGACCTCTTCATCTTTTCATTAATTAAAACATGGTGTAGAGCTTCTCGACTTGCAAAACTACATTTACTACCTTCAGCATAATGCTGAAAGTAGTAAATTATAGATCACCAAGTCCCCGGAGGGGGAAAATTCTCTAGCTTTATTCATAACTTTCGCAGGTCATATTATATTTTGTTGTATACAGTTCTACTATGCTGCCATGACTTAATAACTGTACTTTATCTTTTTTTTAATGTATTGGTTCTATTTTAAGCATTTCCTTAGTTTCGGTTCGCTTGCTCACCGTTTTATTTTTCATGCTTCTCGTTAACTCTTGCTAACCGAGGATACTGCCATAGTCTTCGGCCCATCCTCTTTTACATGTTCTACTGTTCCTCATTTCACTGTATGTCACACTTAGCTCACTCCACTTAGATTGATGTGTGTTCCCGCGGCCAGAAACGCTTGGCCAGAAAGTGAACATGTGTCGAAAGCAAAGCAACAAGTTATTGGAAAAATTGAAATTCTTAAATTCACAACAGTCCCCATTCACTTTTACAACGTCCATTGCTAAAGAACTGCTGGGGAGAACCCTGGTCAGAGAAATATGCAATACAATCAACTAACAGCCCAAGACTTCGTTATACATACTTTAGGTGACTAGAAAAGAAAAAGCTCTCTTATCTTGCAACTTCTTTGTATGTTACGTATTCAAGCACAACAGGGCAAAAACACACTCGGAGATTACATAATTTAAAGCAATAAATCCCACGGGTGAGACAAAACTTTGAACACTTTCTTTATACAATAAATGTGCTGTGCATATTTGCAGTGTTGCATCTCACTGATGCGTCCCTGAAGCTTGTACATAAGAACGTAAATGAAGTAAGTAGGATGCAAAAGACAGAAAGGCTTTGGTATGTGCTCAGTACGCATTCGGCAGCAAAGCAGTGACAATTTCGACAAGATGCACTCTGTGAAAGTGCAGTAGACTCTTGTTCAATGGCCCTTGACTGGACCAGAGAAATGTGTTCCATTTAATGGGAGTCCCGTTCACTGAAAAATGAATGAGGGTGGTGAATCCAAGTATGAAATTATACATGCTGTAATAAGCTGTTCCACTAAAGCAGCAGTTCCATTTACCGAGAGTCTACTGTATACAGAACGCTCCATGAACAACCCAATTAAACAAAGAAACAGGCTCTCAATTCACTCCCCTTCCTTTCTTTAGAGCCAAGATTCTTGCAGCCAGAGGTTGCACTTGTTTTGCATGATTTATGTACATCGTACATTAACTGCCACACACCACGTGCATAACTAAGCAGAAAAATCAATCTTCTAGCAGGAAAGCATTATTTTGTTTTGTTTTCTTTTTTTCTTACTTAGCGTGGATAAAACAGCCGGCCGATATGCCTGACACTGAACAATTCCGTGCCACAAATACCATGTCACCTTCCTTCCACTTAGTGAAATTAATCTGATTTTTGTTTGTATTTAGCTCTTCAGCTCACGTGCTAGTGCCCAAGGTAGCGAGGATGAACGGGCAATAAAAGGCCCAATTAGCAGCTTGTGGCAAATATGGCCACTTAGTACACAAGGCAGCCTCGTAGTGGTCAAATAAAACATACCAGTGCATGAGAATACAGCATAAATGCACAAGCAGTCACAGTCAGAGCAACAGACACTGTTACAAACGTTTTGTACAAATGTAACAAAAAAGGTTCATGATGGAACATGAACCTCTTACATCAGTATTTGCAATCATACAAATATACAACATAAATTCTTTAAAAAGAGAAGAGATATATTTTTGGGTTATGTGTATTCTCATAGCATTTGGTTTTATAATAGTCTCAGTGAAAAAGACTGCAGCATTTGGTCAAGCATAAGCAGTTCTACTAGTGCTAAAATTCCAGTATTCTTGCTGACATATGTTGGAAAGGGAAATATAATGCTGTAAGGTTGGTTATCAATCTGTTTTTTTTTTTTTTTTTTCAATTCTGTACAAGTGACAAAGCCTACATAAGCACACAGATTCTACTTTCATAATTTCAAGGTTTAACACCGAACGACCAATGTCTGGGAGATGTGGTGTTTTGCACACAAGGCGAATTGCCCTTTTCTGTAACGCTGCCAGTTTGCGCACGTTCTGTAAAGAACTCGTTGCCCATGCAAAAATTCTGCACTGAACCAAGTAAATAAACATTTAATTATACAAAGGTATATTAATTGATAAAGCAACTTAACTACAATGATGCATAGGGGCTATTACTCTTCACGGTCAGCTAATTAAATTATCAATCTGGCAAAGGCATTACATAGTTTAAAAATAGTACCGTATGTTTTTGCATATATGCCACCCCAGCATATAACCAACATCCCCATATTTTAAGAATGCCTTTTCAATTTTGGTGCAATTATTAAGATAAAATGGAGTAAACGCCCAGTGACTAGAAAGATGGCACTACTACTATGATATCATACAAATAAATGGGAGACGACTCAAACCATTTGTTGCACGCACAAAATAGCACTGCCTTATTTTTCTCTGCATTAATCTTTAGACAGTTTTTTACATCCCAAGTACGCATGCAATCCAGGTGCCCTATTGGCTCAACTCAACATTTCAGTACCAGAATCACTGTCGAAAAATAGGCTGGTGTCTGCATAAATAAAACACTTATTAACACTTATGCAAATTCAATGACCATTATAAGCAAGCAATTTTTTTTAGTAGAAATGTAATGGAATACATTAACAGCTCGGAAAGGTGACCAGCAGGAAATCTTGAAAAGCAACAAAAGCAAAAATAAACAATGCACAAAGGGCTACAGGTCAGCTCATTTTGTTGAACACATCTTTACAATGTCTATAAAACGTTTCATGTTCACTCATTCCCCGATTATTTCACTGGGGGTTGTATTGGGTGCACCAGAAGAAACTGTATTTTGGGGCAGTAGCTGTTATTCTAATGCTTTGCTTTATACTTCTTTGTTTTATTCAACTTGCACAAGCTTGCCAATCGTTTCAAGAATGCCCATCTTTTTGAAGTTAGAGCCAATGGGCCTCAAAGCAAGTAATCCTAATGCTCCGAGACAAGCAAAGTCTCAAAAAGCCAAGAAATATCCAACAAGTTACCAGCATCAACAAGCAATGACCTTTGTCACTACATAGTTTTTGAAAGCTTTAAAAGCAACACTAAATAGCAAAAGAACTTTTTGCGTATTAGCAAAGTACAATTTCACAATTCTGAAAACACCATTCCTATCGCGACACAATGCTTGGTAAGCGAGAAAACACGCAAAAAGAAAATGCGAGTGAAGTAACCACCTCAAGATTGTACACCAAACACCGTGACATCATAGATTCTGAAGGTGTCTACTGGGAATCTTACGTAGTTCTAGTCGACCAAAATGAAGTATATCATCATCTGTAGGTGCCATAGACTTAGCATACGAAGTTTTAGACAGTTTAATCGAGGCAAGGCCCCGAAAATATACCCAAACACATTTTGAAGTTTCTGACATCATGCATGAAGATTTCAGTGCAAAATTTAAAAGTGAAGCTTTAAACTTAATTTTGTCCACTAATAATGACCTTATGATAGTGAAACATACGGTAGAGTTGCCAGAGTGCAGTTTGTCAAGCCACTGTTTCTGTTCAGTGTCCCTTTAAGTAGAATAGTAAGCTACGTCGACATTAAATTAGCTGACTGGTTCATTGGTTATTCGCATTGAACATAAACAACACAAAAAGTACAGCTATAAAATAGGACAGAGTGTTGGTGCAAAATTTCTTTCCAGCAGTATTGACAAGTTGTCCCAGCTGGAAAATGGAACGTGTCCCACAGTGAGACACAGGAAGCATCTTCATCAGCCCAACGACGCCCACTGCAGGGCCTCTCCCATGATCAGCCAATCAACACAGTTTTGTGCTTTATGCTGCCACATTACACCTGTGAACTTGTTAATCTTGTTGGCCCACCTAACTTTCTGTCTCCCCTTCATGCATTTGCCGTCTCTGGGAATCCAGTCAGTTACCCTTAATGACCAGTGGTTATCCAGCGTAGACAAGATTACTGCGAGAGAAGAGCGGGTGCGTAAGCAAACCATTGGTTGCACTATCTGAAAGGGAGCTCTGCTTCTTGGAATGCGGGGCTTTGCAATGGAAACTGTTGTGATTGCTAACACTGTTTCCACTACTTTCATGTCAATCAAATTCACTCAGAAGTCACCGCTTGTTCGGTGTGTTTGCTCTTGATAGCCATGCTTCCTTTTTTTTTTTTGATGCTTATTTTGGATTGATGGACAGTTCTATTATTTTTAAATTATGCTGCATTTATATTGTTTGTTTATTTCTGCTAGTGTGATGTCGAAAAAGTGTACCCTCGACATTACCTTACAAAAAGTGACATGGCAATAAGCTAGTCAGTCATCTGAAAACCTTCAGTCATACACGGGCAAAACAACTAATATACTTAGCAGAGAAAATGACACAGAGGTTGTAGCGGTAGAAAAAATACAGTAAAGGGACTATTGTCACTCAAAAAACTTGAAGCTGTTACAAACGTATAAAACCACATTACGGTGCACAGACCCTGCCGACAACGTCTGAATCGGCATGCTGCAAATAAGTTATGTGATATCCAGCAAGGTGGTGGAAGGGTTAATAAAAGAGAATCGAAAATCACTTGCTTGTATCATGAACTCATAAGATAATCCATACGGGCTTTTCAGAGAGGAAGTTTAGACTTAGTTGCTGAAAAATTCGTCCTGACCTGGGAATCTAACCCAGGGCCAACACCCTTCCGGGGCAATACCTCTGTATGGATTGCTTTGTACAACAAATTTCGTTTCGATAAATTATCTCTCCTCCATTCTCGAGCATGAAATCCATTTCTTACGTCAAGAAAAACAAAATAATAAAAACCATCATCATAGACATCTAGGACACGTCTTCCTGGTGGAGTAACTATTCTACCAGAAAGACATGCCCTAGATGCCATGATGCCTTCCAAGCACAAGTGGTGCTCAAGGTGCACTGATAAGTTGAAAACACGGTGGTGCGTCTCGATTTCAGCACGTCTCACTGAAATGAAACTGTTTTTTGCCAAGCAGTGAGTATTTGGAAGAAAGTAATAGCTGCAGTCACTATGATCTCACTAAAGCTGGCATTACAGAGCTTGAACAAAGGATGGAAATTTCGAGGGCTCGTTGCTTTGTTCGACACAGCCTTAATGAAGACCAGAACATAAAGGTATAGAAGAGATTAATTGTACAGTATACTTCCTTTAATACAAATTCAAAAGGACCATGATCATATGTTCGTCTTATCAGGAGTTCATCTTATCAGAAGTGCCCGCAAAAACCAAATGCCGACATGCCAAGTACGCCCAAATATGTGGCTTGAAAACACTGAATGAGGTATACTTATAAAGGGGGAGGAAAGGAACAAGAAAAAGCATTTATTTGGCTCAATTTGATAAAAGCTATGCTTTTGTGTAGAGTATTTAGATTAATTTAACGGAATTCTAAACTCTGCAAGTTCATAATAAATATGCTCATCAATAAACTGCTACCACATTTTAACAATAAACTGTAGTACGACCTTATTTGACAATTAGAAAAACACAAAAAGGGAGGGACAAGCACAATTTTCCATCTAAGAATGGACAATTTATTCTTCTGACTGTTCACCTTCTGAGAGGCTGTTTTACTGGCTTTGCTATCACTTTCGTATATGCCTCCATTGCATACCCCTACCTTGACAAAGCCAATATGTGCTAAGTTGCTTATCAATCTCTGCAAGCTTTTCTTTGAGGTTTGGAAATTTATCTTATTTTTATGCTGCAGTGACTTTTCCTGAACGACATGCTGCTGAAGATCCCTGTTTTCGCTTTTCGCGATCCAAAGCACACAAAAAAGACACGACACAGCTATATTCAGTGTGGAAAATGACCTTCCTTTGTCGTGAACTTTTATAATAAAAATGGAGCATCCCAACTTGCTTCATTTCACTGGGAATAGATACACAGGCCATACGTGAAACAATGCCAACTGACAACAAGTGCTCAGACACCATTGTGTGGCAGCAATGACAATGTATCTGACTCCTCTGATGGTTTTCATTTCACATGATTTTAACGCGCAGACAATCTTTGTTCCCGTTTTCATTTTCATTTGGCCTTTTTTCGCCACTCTTTCCTTGCATTTTTCCCCTCTAGCAAAGCTCTTGTGTTGTTTTGTTCTCTGCTGTATTCCAGTTGAGGAACTGAAGAACGTAATTAGAATATGTCAAACGCTTTTTGTTGCTTTCTTTGCTAATAAAGCTCGTCCTTTCTCCACCTGCAGGCTAGGAGTGAGAGAGATCCAAGTTTATGTGTTAACCTTTCTTTTTCACTTATCTCGCTTTCTCCTTCCACATAGCTATTTGCCTTCAATTTGCCTTGAATCTTTGTGCCAGGAAGTTTTTTTTTTTTTTTTTTTGCTTTCTCTTATTCGCCTGAATGCCCCCATAATGTTCATTGCACAGAAACCCCATAGTTTTTGGTCACTGTTATAGTAACCTTTAAAGAGGCCCTGAAACACTTTTTCAAGCAACCATGGAATGAATTCACTAGAAGAGCTCATTTTCTCACAAATTCAACGCCACAAACATTTTAAGAATTCATCCAGTGCGAGTGCAGTTACAAAGGTTTGTCGCACGGTGCAATTGCATTCTCTTTTCTCTAGTCCCAACGAAAGCGCTGGAAGCTAAGCAGGGAGGGATAACAGGGCCACAGAGAAACGTCACGCGCGCCTCGTGACTTTGAGCACTTTTTTTTTTCTGAGAATGTGCGGCTATTTCAGTGTAATTGCACACGCGCGAGGACAAGTAGCGGCCTCTCGTGGCGATTTTTGTAACGATTGGGTGCACCATGTTCAAATCAGAAAATGGCTGATTTGATCAGCAAATGGCTTACTACAAGTGATTTTGGGGGTTATTCTGTAATTTGTCAAAAGTAGAGAAGGCAATTTTGAGTGGACTTTGATAATTTATTGTGAATTCTAGGCCGCGTGCTGCGCTATAATATTTGGCTCGCATGTTGTTAGGAGCCTCTACATCCGATCAGCAGTGTTCTCTGACCATGCTCAAAAAGTGTTGCAGGGCCCCTTTAACAGAAGAGGCCTGTTACACGGTTCGTCTTAAGCAGGTTTTTTCCTGAGTCTATTGGAAACCAAACACTCCAGTGTTTTTAGTCTTAAGCAAGAATTCATCTTAACAGAGTTCATATGAAAGGGAGTTTACTGTACTGTTTTAGGTGTACTGTAATGACTGTGAGATAGATGTGAAAGGGCTAAAGAGATGACTTGCCACCGGCAAAGACCAGACCTTGAGCCTCCATATTGCGGGCCTTCGCCACTTGGTCTACGGTGGTAGTTGTCCACTTTATTGGGCTTCCCTGCCAGCTGGTTATCATTAAGGATGCGTATTACAATACAGACAGGAATTCCTGCAGCTCCTACAAGTATACAATGCAAACGTGTGGAACTGCAACAGTCAAGTTCTCGATGACAGCAGCAGATGCTCCCACTGCAGCAAAATTATTCCTTTGTCTGACATCGCCCCATTGAGTCAAACTTCAGTACTACACCGAGTATAACAATAAAAATGAAATGGAAATGCACAGCAAATTATGCGCACAAGTGGAATACCAACTGCCTTATGGTGAAGACAGGCAGAGAAAAGGCAGGAGAGGGAAGATGGAAGCTTGCAATGAGAATTTTGATACTAGGGAATGGGTGTGCTGCACTCCTCATTCTGACAAGTGGACTTCTCTTTTTGAAGTCTTGAAAGTTGCTTTTGAAAAAAAAAAAAAAAAAGAAGTCTTGGAAGCTTGCAGCTTTGAAAACTGCAGCCTTGAAAAAGTCCACTTGTTGAAACAGCACACACCACCGATTCACGAAAACAGGTAATGTACCAAAGCATCACACTGCATGAAATGCAACTTAAGCATGAAATATGAGTAGGACTAGATTGAACACTTACATGATCACATGATACAACATCCATGGTATTCATGGTACAACATTCATGGTACAACACATGGCAGAAGCATGTGAAAACGGGCATGACTGATCGACACCATCAGCACACAGCGCAAGTTCTTTTGTTTGTTCTATAAAATTACCCCATTCTTCCAGAGGAAGGTTTTCAGACTGTCCTTGTGACCATCTTGTAAAAAACAAATTAACAAGCTACAATCAAAACTTGACAGAATCAAATTAATCGTAAATGTCTCTTGCCATTTTAAGCAACACTGGTGCTCTCCTGTGCCACCAACACAAATGGCATACACAAATAACAGAACCATTGTCCGACTCGAGATAAGAACAATATGTGGTGGCTCACCATTGGCTGCAATATTGCAACAGAAACAAACTAGAATATTTTGAATTCAGTCATTACATATTAGTTTTCTCATACGAGTTTCTTTTGTGGAGACCATGACATGCTTATCGTACCAAAGAACAACATTTCCACTGAGACTCTGGCCTGTGATCATAGTAGTAGCGACGAAGGATAGTGTGTTCAGAGTGCTAATTACCAGAACATTGCTTGCATTGCTCTTGAAAAGAATGGTGCAAAGTGCAGGATCAAGTGTGACATTCAATACCACCAAAGCCTTTGTGAGATGCCGAATGAGGGCAGACTGTAAGTAAACACTGCAAAACTGCATGTTCATCACGAAGATCGGCAATTTAAAAACAGCCAGTCTGACTCGTAACCTTGTATGCCAGCCAATGTGCTGGCACACAAGGAAGACACACATAACGTACACACAGAAATCAGCAACATTGTACTCACACCACTAGCAGCAATCAAAGCTTTCTGTCAGCTTGAATGGGCGGCAACGGTTTGTCAATAAACACAATCATTTCCACAGGCATTCATCTACTGACAAGCACTCGGTTTCCGGCGTGGAATGTCTCACTTGCTGAACAGCAGGTGCTGCTTGCGTAGGACATATTCGGTAAACTGGTTGATGTGGGTGATGGAAATGAGCGAGGCCTGCTCCTGGCGAGACCACAGCAAGTTTGGGCCAAACACAATGGCCAGGTTGGATGCCGTCATTTTGTTCAGATCACTCCGGTCGATCACCTGCATCCAATGGGAGCATGGTCTGAATGTGATGCAAGCAGGCGTAACCCACAAAGTTTTCTATTCGCCAACAGCAACAGCTCTGATGCCTTTTGCAGCGCCTGTATCTCGTTGTTATCAATAGTTCAACAAATGCCCCCTGCTAAGCACAGCATCATAAAGGAAAAAAATTACTGACCACTTCGTCCCAACAGTGTTCCAACATGACACTGGGAAGCTATTCAATGACAAGTCAACAAAATGCTACAGAACAACATGATACAACCTTCGAAAAGTCTGTGTGGCATCACCAGTAGTGTCGAGCCTAGCATTTCTGGGTTGATTACTGTCACCGAACAAAATCATGAAGAACATATAGTTCAATGTTTGACAAATGCCCTTTGCTAAGGGCATTTGTCTGTACATTTGTACTGTATCACTCATACATGAAAGCACTGCATCTACGTATAGAGTGACTCGATAAATCCAACTGTTGATTGATATGTGGGGTTTAGCGTCCTGAAACCATCGTATGATTATGAGAGACCCCGTAGTGAAGGGCACTGGAAATTTCGACTACCTGAGGTTCTTTAACATGCACCCAAATCTGAGCACACAGGCCTACATCCTTTTCGCCTCCATTAGAAATTCAGCCACTGCAGCTGGGATTCGATCGTGTGACCAACAGATCAGCCGCCGAATACCTTGGCCACTAGACCACTGCGTCGGGTCTAAATCTAACTGTTAGGCATAGCTAGATTTCAAGACCAGCTACCAGTGAGCTAAAGTTAGAGGCAATGAGAAGACTGACACCGGACAGGCTGTTTGAGTTATGCAATTTAGTCTTTGTGCACAGACCATAAAAGTATGATGACTTTGCCGCTTCATGTTCATTACCATTCATCATCATCATCATTTCCTAGCAACTGCGCGGTGCCTCTCACGCAGCTCATAGCGGTGCTCGGGGCACAAGCCAAAATAGAACAAGCTCACGTTGGGCTGGACGCTGCAGCAACCCCTGCTCTGCTTCGGCCTTTGAAATAAAGAGGCGACATTCGCACCTTCACATTGTCTCGCTCGCTACAGTGGCGACAGGGAGGTGCGACGGGGTCACTAGGAAATGATGATGCTGACCAATGATCAAGGTGAGTGGGATCGTAATCGTGTTGTGCATAAATGTTTTCTTTTCCGTGAACGTGTCTGTGCCTGAGGGCCCGCGAATTATCAGAATTGGCGAGCCTCTGCCAGGATGGCTAATTAGCATTTGGAGCCATACTCAGATACTGCCTGGTCATGGATTGGGAGCAGGTACTCAGAGTCATTCGCGAGCGAAAGCTCAATAAGGACGAGGGCTTAAAGTTCATTTAAGAGGAGAGAGAACGGTTTAAACAAACAAGAAGCGCCAAACTCAAAGCCAAGCATGTGGTAAAGCTCGAAGCTTATGCGCTATAAAAGAAGGAACTCGAGCGCCAAGTGCGACTGGCACTAGCGAAAAATGGCAATAAAGAGGACGAGAAAAGTTCCACAGAAGTTCCATCGGGAGAGTTGAGTGTGCCCAATCATGAGAATTCTACTGCCAGAGAGAAAAAGAGTAAAGACCACATCGATAGCGCTAACGAGACGAGCCTTCTAAGCGAAGAGCAGAAGGAAAAGAGCTCAGACGCGGCAGATAGTGGTAACAAGGCGCCGGTTAAGGAAGTGTATGCCACTGCTGCTGAAGCAGGCACAGAGAAAGAGAAAGCTACACACAACAGAGAGGCAGGGCATGGTACTTTGGCAATAAACGCGGATATTGCGAAAAAAAGCAAGGCAAAAATGCGAGAGAAAGCACGTGAGAGGAATACGACAAAAGGAGTGTCTCAGACGCGCATGGTTGAACACAAAAAAGCAAAGGAGACGCAGATAGCTCAAAAGGTATTGAAAAGTCTAGGCAATTATCAGGACGCGAGAAAGGTTGGTAAAGTTGTGAGTGGTAGACGTGTCAAAAAAAAAAAAGGAAAGAATGCTGGGAAGGTGCCTAAAGTAGGTCAAACGTATTGGATGCAGAGAGGGTGGCGAAAGATGAGACGCAGTCTGGAAAAGTCGGTTTGAAGCAGCGTCGAGTAGACAGAAAGAGTGAGATCAGCTGTAATGAGCATTCGAAATGATGTAGGCGCAGGAAGAAGTTGAAAAAGACTCGGAATGTGAAAAAGCACCGACTCAAGCTAGTTGGGTGCAATTCATAAATGCTTTTGCAGGTAAAATATTTTGAACAGAGATTCGACATAGTACAAGTTTTTGGAACATTGAGCATTGAGTATTGCGGCTGTTACTTTTGCGAGTGTATCTGTGTAGTGTTAGATGAGGAACTTGTGGATATGTGAACGGTAGAGTATAGGGTCGTCTGACCCAGTTTCCTACGCAAGCCGCAAATTACTGCCGTGCGAAGCAGCTTACTCTACACTTGAAAGAGATGGCTTTGCCGTAGCGTTGGCTGTTCGCAAATATTACATCTTCCTGACTGGCAAGCCATTCACATTGCAGTGCGACCATCAGCCACTGAGTCTGTGTCTGAGAGCTCACGAACCACTACAGTGATGCTACAACTTAAGCAAAATAATGAAAAAAAGGAGGGAAAAGGAGCATACTGAGTGCTCACTTTGGCAACCAAGTGACTGCAGCATTATGCTCTATACATAGTATGTACCGAACAGCCCAACAGCAAGAACTTCTGATTTACATTTGGTGTTTGCCAAGTGCCTGCAACCTTCAAACATGTGCAGGCAGCCTTGTCTTGTGTACATCATTGTCTTCACGTCAAGCTTCGAAAAACACCTCCAACACCTTAGAATGGTACTCTAAGCAGTCAGGTCATTCATGCTGACGCTAAAAGTGCCGATTTGCATACGAAGAACTTCTGTTCCTACAACACATGATTAGCAAGACTGGAGTCTGTCCCAACCCACAGAAGAGAGCCACCATCACTGTTTTTCTGGCACATACAGTCAACTCCCAATTTTTCGGACATGCCCGATGATTCGGACATCTTCGCGGCACCACCACGAGCCCCGTAGAATCAATGTATAAGGAAAGATGAAATTTTGGACGCTCTAACCCCTCGGAGTCCAATTTTTCAGACATTTTGACGCGACAGAAGGTCGGAAACCACCACTGACCTCAAGTAGAAACCACGACAACTGCGTCACACACGATTACGATCGCATAAATGAGCGCGCCGGTCTACTGTGGCGACATCTGTTGCTCGGACTCGTTGATCAATAGCGGAGAAACACACACGGCCTCCGAGATTCCTAAAATTGTCCGTGTTTATCGTGCAAGGGTGCTTCGCTGACAATCGAAACTATCCACCAGGAAATTTTTTGGCGTCAATAAAGTTCGTTTCACTTTAGCGCTTTTGCTCGTGCGTGCCACTCTGGCTTCCCGTGCAGCGCTTTCTCGAATCGTTTCACCACTTTGAAATAGAACTAACCGTCACACACCGATTTGGTCTGGCCACGCTGGCTATCTTGAATGTTTACCAGCGCCACCTCCGGAGTACCCGAGGCACCGTCGCCTGCCGTTGCGCCGTTTTGTTTACGCAGCCCACATAGTTGACATGGTGTTTGGCTAGCCTAGTGCGTGGTTGTGCGATCGTGCGAAGTGTGCTCTGCAACGCTAAGCCTAGGTGCTTCGACGCTCGTCACCAAACTCCTTTGTTCACATCGTGAGGATTTTGCTCGCCTGTGATGGCCCCCACTCCGCCTTCGTCGTCCTCGCCGATGGCATCGAAGCGCGGAAAACAGTACCATCGGTTAACGATGGAGAAGAAAGCTGCCATTATTAAGTTAGTGAAGAGTGGCCGATCGCAGGCTGACGTGGGCAAGAAGTTTGGCATTTCCAAGCAAACAGTTTCCGATTTCCTGAGGAACAAAGACAAGATCTTGGAAGCGGCCGAAAAACCATCTGGTGCCCAAAAGATGAATGCAAGCGAAGGTGTTCATCCAAAGCTTGTGGACGCTCTCGTCGTGTGGCTTAATTCAATGATTGCCAAGCGATTGCCAGTCTCGGGCTGCATCTTGGAATAAAAAGCGGGAACTATCGCGCTTCGAATGGACATCGCGGATTTTAAGTTCAGTGATGGATGGCTGAGAAACTTTAAGCATTGGAATGACCTCAAGTTCAAGATGTGTGGCGAAAGCGGCATTGTCGACAGTGCAGTTCTTGCGCCAGTCTTTGTTGCAGCAGTTCTCTGCTGACAACATTTTCAACTGCGACGAAACTGGCTTGTTTTACAAGCAGCTGCCGGAAAGAACACTCGCTTTTGCTGGTGACGCATGCCATGGTGGCAAGCATAGCAAAGAACGGCTGACCGTTCTTGTCGGCAGCAACATGTCTTGCAGCGAGAAACTTCCTTTGTTAGTAATCGGGAAGTCCAAGAGCCTGAGGTGTTTTAAAGGGGCAACGCTACCAGTGTTATACGAAGCCAACAAAAAGGCATGGGTAACGCAGCAGTTGTTCGAGAGTTACGTCCACAGGTTGGACAGGAAGTTTGAACAACAGAAGAGACGTGCTCTGCTCTTCTTTGACAACTGCACTGCTCATGGTCACATCAATAACTAGAAGGCTATCCAGCTAGAATTCATGCCGCCCAACATGACTGGGATCCTCCTACCGATGGACCAAGGCGTTATCCGTAATCTGAAACTTTTGTACCGTTTACGTATACTCAACCGCATGGTGCTGTGCTCGGAAAACGGGAAAGGCTACAGCGTTGATCTTCGGTCTGCTGTCAGAATGCTTGCGGACGCATGGAAGGCAGTAACGCAAGACACGCTTCGCAACTGCTTTCGCCACGCGGGCTTCGTACTCGACACAGAGGCAGCAGACTTGCCTGAAGAAAGCGACAGCGTTACTGACTTGTGCCCTCTCATGGACAATATTGTCACGGCTAAAGGCCGGGCAAGAAGACAGAGGACGGCGAAGTGATGAGCGTGAACAGCACCCACCGTTCCTCCGAGCTCCGACATCAAAGCGGCTGCTCT